GTTTAGTTTATAGTAGTTGGCCCCCTGGTCTGGCCGTTTGCGAAATGTCCACACTGCCATGCACATCCTGTGATCAAGTACGGGATATGGGCTTGTTGGTAGTATTGCTGTCATTGAGAACCCTCCTCCCAGCTCTTCTTAAGCCAAGATTAGATCAATTCGAGATTTGGAGAGTCTGGTGGGGTCATTGTTTTGGATGCAAGTAAAGGCCTTTTTGGTGGGGTAGCTACACCTGAAGGTGTCAAAAAACGAGAGGGACGCACAAGTCTCTCACCATCCTCTCGTCCTCCTCTGCATTATGTGCAGTGGTGTGGTCCAGCCACCTGTCCGGTGCGGCATTGAAGTCTCCTGCTAGTATTAAGGGGACCTCAGGGGTAGGGATTGTTTCTATTTTTTCAGAAAAGGACCACCTTTCACGGGTCATGTTTGTAGCATATATGGATACTATGCACACTATCTCTAGTTCCAGCATGCCCAGTACTTTCACCCATCGTCCCTCCACATCCTTTTCCCAGCAGAGTACCTCCAGTCGTGATTCGGGTGGGATCCAGATTGCGACCCCTGAGCTCCCTGGACAGGGGGCAAATGCTTGGTAACTTTGGAAGGGCCAAGCTTGTTTGTGTGCCATGTGGTGTTCTGGTGTGTCCATTAGGTGAGTCTCCTGAACGCAGACTACATCTGGCCACGATCTTCCCCCAACACCCCTCATCAAGTCCCATAATGCTTTGATTTTTTCCGGGTTGCGGGATGCTAGACCATTCACATTGATCGTTCTAATGTCTAAGTCTGCTTGCTGTAGAATGTGTTTCCACTTTTTGTTTTTCCCATACACCACATCTACCCAGTCCATCGTTGGTTGTGATTGTATACCCCTTGACCCTCCCTTATCTGCTTAGTAACTGCGTCCATTCTTGCGTCTCCCAATCTACCCCCCTATTGAGGATGTTTTTCCTCAGTATCGTGCAGATGCATGTGAGTAATTCGTCAGTCGACCAGATGTTGTTCGGTTTAAGTTTCATTTGTTGGGTGTCCAAGAGCATATTGTGTGTGTACCATTGCAGCCCTGCCTCCTTGTTCTCCTCGAATCTCACGTAGAGATCCTTGCAGGCCATCTTCAGGCCTTCTGTTGATACACTGATGGTGGCCATTGCTCCTGGTTCGTAGTGGCTGGCGATAAATTTTGTGACTTCACGAGTCCTTAGTGCCCCTTCCCGCTGCATATGCCACCCGTGTAGTGTCAGTCCTCCATAGGCAGGGGTGTATGGGTCCTCGGACTCAGCGGGTGACAAGCCCACTTCCCACTTCCATTCTTCCTCCTGATTGGTAACACTAGCACTTTGTCTCCCTTTGGTAGGTTCTTGTGGGTACAGTCCTTTTTCGATCAAGTGGCGTAGTTTGGCCCGCTTTGAGAGGCCCGTTTTCTCTGCCTCTGTTGTTTCTCTCTCTCCCTGTTCGGGCTGAGAGTCATGTGTAGCCTGTTGTGTACCCTCACCCGGAGGTGGCTGGTCAGGGGGGTGTGGAGGGGGTTCGTCTGGGGGCTCGTCTGTCTCTTTAGATATGTTAGGTGTTTCTACAGTAGTGGGGGCTGGAATTTTTTGTGTACAATATTCCAGATTCTGTTCAATACCTGTTGCCAATCAGCTTCCGAGGAGAGGCCTTGCTCCAAAGCCTGTTTCAAGCTAGGGCTCTCGTCCAATAAGGAGAAAAGTTGTACGTAGGATTCATCCCAATATGTTTCTGTTTGGCCTGTGTATAGGATCCGGAGCTGGCTGATTAACCATTCCGCCAGATACCTTAGCCTGGTCTCGACATCCTCCCCTTGTGATCCCCGGGCCTCTAGGGTACTGTCCGTCATTTCCTCGTCCGTGGGGGTCGCCGGTGGTTCCCAATCCATAGGTTGAGGTCCAAAGGCTTGGGAAAAGGGGTCCAATCCAACGGGGGTTTCTCCCTTGGTATGAGCCCCTTGGGAGGGATCTGTTTTGGGGTGTTTTTGAGCAGAATCCCCTGCTGCTCCCTCCCCTGGGGTGTGCTGCCTAGTCCCCTGGTGGGCCCCCTCCTCCTGGGCCGATTGTTTCTCGGTCCCTTGTATCGTCCCCTCTCCTCCCTCCCCAGCCCTTTTGATCTTCTGAGGGCCACTTTCCCCACCGGGGGATGTCGTACCTCCTCCCCCCCCTCCTCCCTTATTCACCCGTGCACTGTTTCCTCCACCTAGGGTCTCCGGTCTTTCGTGTCCCTTGTCTTTCCCTCCTCCTTTCTTTGTTCATGATGTTCGTGCTGTCCTAGTTCCCCCAGCTGCTGTGCTGCTGCTTGTTTATCCCCCGTTTCTGCTGCCAGGACCTGGAATTGATTGTCCGTTTCGGGGGTATTTTGTTTATGTGGCAATTTACCTTGTTTGCTGGGGGATGCTTTCTTCTTTGAGGCCGGAGATTGCCACAGTTCCCCCATGTCAGCCAGAGTGATGACATCTTGGGGTCCGGGCTCTGTCCGGGGCTGAGTCCGGGTCTCTGTCCCTGTTGTGTCTGACGCTGTTTCTGACATGATCTGTCTGTTAATTAGTGCAGAGTCCTCCTTTGGGGGAGGCGGGTATGAGGGGGTGGTGGTCTTTTCCATGTGCGCCTCCACCGATTTAGGGGGAATCCATTGGTCCGGGGGCTTTGTATTCCAATTTACTACTTCGCCCTTCTCTCATTCCCACCCCCTTACCCCTCCTCCCTCTCGGGGCTCGTCCACGTAGACCCATCATTCGTGTCCTGCGTCGACAGTCCTCCACCAAGTATCCTTAAACGGGTCGCGTAACGACCCGTGGATCTGATTCTTTTGGCCGGATGGTGGGGCCAGTCTGGGTCTAAGGAAAGGTGTCCGTATGCCTGGCACTTGAAACGCCAAGGTCGTGTTTTGTGTGCTGTGTGTATTCTGAAGTCCTTCCCCCCAACCCGAAAAAGGATGACATCGTCGACGGTGAAGATGTGTCCGTTGGGAATGTCCAAGGCTACCATGAGATAGTCGTCCCTTGGGGCTACGTGGGGGGGAAGGGGGTCAATAAAGTCAACGATCTCGTACTTTTGGGCGAGTTCCTGCACGAAAGCCTCTTGAATTTCAATGGGCACGTGACGGAATTCCACCCAATAATAGTCCGTCATCAATTGTTCCCCCTTCTCCTCCGGTTTTTGCTGTTTTGGGGGAGACCAGGGGAAATCTGGACTTCCAAACGCCCGCAGGGTATACTTCGCCATGAGTCTAATATTCGCTTATCCGAATCAAACATACAGATCACTGTAAAGACAGTCGATGAGATAGGTTGGATTAGGAAGAAATCTCGTGCTCCCTCCTCTGATCCTTTGAGGGTTGCGAGACACTTCCTGATCCAACCTACCTTGTTAATGGCCGTCTTGTAGGCCGCATCATCGTAGAAGACCCAGGTGTTAGCATGGCGGGTATAAATTGTATCTCTTTCCTTGATCATGTTGTTTGGGAGGGTCTTGACCCTGTGTTTTTTCCCCCCTTGACTGATTATCTTGTCTTCTGGGTGTCCCCTCGCTTACAATTGCAACTCCTGCACTGTTTTTGATTTCGCTGGCATTGTCTACTGGACAGAAGAGGAGCACTGTGCTGTCTGCACAGAGGACGACAGTACTGCAGCTGGGATGAACATAGACGTGCTGTCCAGGGCACTTACTGAAAGACGACCGCAACTCGAGCCCGCTCCGCAGAATTATATGCCTGACATGGACCCGCGCCTTTGTGTGTAGTACTGTGTACACCCTGCACCACGTGTGCACTGTAAACTGTTAAACCACCAGTACCTGGCCCAGCTATCGAGTCTGAGCCTCAGCCGACCGGTACGCCGATCCGTGCCGAGGCTCGGACTACCGGGCGCAGGCATCCCGAACGTTGGAGTGAAMGGCACGAAAAAAACGGGAAAAAAAAACGAAAAAAAAAGAAATAAGAAAAACGAATGGGTTCATTCCCGCTTTGTGTTTCCCGAACGGCTTCGGAAACGCAAAGCGGGAATGAATCTTCCCGCTTTCGCTGATAGATAGATAGATAGATAGATAGATAGATAGA